AAGGGTGAAATGTAGATGCAAGCTCTTCTTCACACACCTCTGTGACTCTCAGCTGTCACCAAAACGAGGTGTATTTTTAAGAACCATCATGTGAAGATGTAGTGGAAATGCAGACAGCAGATTAAGAGAGGGACAAGTAGTACTCATTACAAGTATCTCAAAAATCCCTGTAGGAGGTTTTATGTTGGCCCAGATGTGGTCAGGATCAGGCCCTTGAGGAAAGAAGTCTCTGTCAGCATGTTAGCTGCTCCCAATTTTAGATCTTCCACGGCCTTGTCCTTTCCTCCTTCGCTTTGTAAGGCTGCTTTTCATCCCACTCCTACTCTCCTTCACAGCTGCCATTTCCTGTTACTAGTATCAGCAGTTCTCAGTCTTTTCAGACAACCCTGCTGTCGTTTGTGCCTAGCTATGTGAGGGAAACAACCCATGCTTTCTGTTCCCTCCTGAAAGTCACTGGAGCTCAAGCTCCAGCAAAGCGAGGCCCCTGCTCAGCGCAACCTCTGCCCAAATCCAGCATGTAAGACTAAAAACTGGCAATGCTTCTGGTCTCAGCACAGGGAAATAGCCAAGATCAAAGTTAGAAGCATGGTTTCTTTATTCTTTCATCAAACTGGCCTTCATTTTTTCTTTCCAGTCCTACAGTTATTCTTTTCTGATGTATGTTATCTCTGGGAGTCACTGGGAAGTATTGGATGGATTGGCAACTATTAGGCCTTATGGTTATCCTTGCAGATACTGCTAACTCTGCCATGTCATACAAGAAAGAGAAAGATTCTTCCTCTAAATAAACTATTTTCTGTGCTGTCTTGTGTTTGACTTAAAGAACTGACGACCTTTGCATCCTGTTTCTTATTCCTCCATCTTTGCATGATGAAAGTTCCCCTTCCAAATTTCATTTCCCTCATGTATTTTAAATGTCTGAAATGAAAACAAAAATCTTCTTCAGGTTTCTTCTTTACATTTAAATGGTGTACTTAACTACTTGTAAAAGAAGCAAAGATCCCCATTTTTAAAAGTAATAAATAGGTAGCACCAAGACTGAGATTGTGCCAATGGCACAGAGAACAGAAAAGATTAACTTCAGAATATTGAAGATCAAAACTTCGCTTTTGTGCTGTTCTCCCTGTAGCATCTCAATGTATTTTAAGAAATGGTTGAGAGTATTTTTAACCTTAACCTTATTTTCCATTTTTCAAAGTGGAGTAAAAAATGTCTACCCTAATTGATTTGTTATTTCTTCTAGCCTAGCCTATAAGGTTTCAGAGTTACCTCTCACAGGTGATCTGTAGCTTTTTTTAATGGGAGTGAAATACCTGAAGAGCTTACATGCAGGGCAGCAGAACCCAATGGCCTTCATTCACAAAGGGTTAGAAATGGACTTAAAGGGCAGTGGTGCAGATGCCTCCACCCAGGCCAGGGCTCAGAAAGGATAGGTACAAGTGAGTACAAAATTGTTTGCTTTCCCTTTCCCTTGCATTACTGTGGGATACTCACAAACATTTAATTATAGCTATTGTATGCATGCTTAACTTGGAGATATCTGTGGTTCCTTGAAACCATTACACAGGAGCACCATAGAAAATACAAGGGAGTCACTGAAGGAAAATACAAATGAATTAGAAAAGCATAGCAACCAGAGAATACATTTCCCATAATACAACAGTCAAAGGTCATGAGATCACAGATGCTCAGTTGCTCATGCATATCTTCTATTCTCTCCACTTGCATGCTTGCTCCAGGGAGGGCAAAGATTTAATGAGGATGGAGCTAGCCTTAGCAGTTCTCACCCTTCCTCACACCCTGCATCTGAAAGAGCATTGTAAGCCTCTTTGAAGTTGCAGTAGACACACATTGAACTGTCCCAGTGCACACATACAATCTGGGGTTTTCTCATCAGGTACAAAAATACAAGGTGACTGTTCTCTTCCGGCTGCCCTGGATGTGAACAAAGCTGTTGAATCAAAGACTTATTGAATTTAGGAGTGGAAAGAAGTTTCTCCATAGCATCTGTCTTTTCAACCTGCAGCAGTGGCCCTTCTTAGAGTCTCACAGTTTCTATTAGTCAGTTCATTTTTCCTGGCTCTTTAAAAAGAAATCCTGTTCAGACAAAACAGCACACTATTTATAGGAAGCTTGGCAGGGTCAAAAAGTGGCTGTAAACCCAATCTTCAGTTAAAGCATACAGTATCTGTTCTGGTGTAGATGCTGTTAGAACTCAGCAATCTCTGATTTGCTAGCAAAGCCTTGAAAATGATTTCAGAGTCAGATTTTTTAAACTTGGTGACACTGTGTTATCACTTGTCATTAGCAGAGCTAACTTACTTGCTCCAAGTCACATTTAATCTGTCCAGCTCACTACCCACAGCTTCTGACCTACTTAGTCATTTCCTGTCTTTGATTTTTGCCTTAAAGCCTCTTTTCTGTGTTGGCCTGTGGCTGCTACTTAATCTTAATCAAACTTCCTTGGACTTCCATTACTGTCAAGTACAACTCCTCTCACCATAATACCTACCCTTCTGAGTGCAAGAAAACTGATTTACGGCCAGCAGTCTGCCTCTTCTCTTATGCTCAAAGTTCATCTTTGCTTTGTTTTTCTTCCTGTATGAGTCACTCCTTCCCTCTCACTGAGACACTGTACTATACTTTCTGTTCCCCTCAGTCTGTCAGTGGCTGAGAAGCTGCTGTGCACACCTTTACTGCAAAGATCTGGTGAGTATTATCATGTGTGCCCCACTGCCATTTGCAGATTTGGAAAAAGCTGAACATCAAGAAATTGAGTTGTCCACAGGCTTCTACAGAAAGTCATCTAGTTTAATATGCTTTTGCCTCTGACCAAAAATGATGACCTACTCTGTTCCCTTACGCTTTTCTTAAGAGCTACTTATGCAAAACACAGCTGTTTAGTCTACTCTTCCAAGCCTAGCATCTCCCCTCCTAGTTCAGGGCACCTGTTAACTCTACAAATGGTGTAAAGTGGGTACCAACTTAAGGACTTTCCCAATTCTCACCGGGTCACTCATGCTACAGTAACATGCCTTTGAAATAAACTTCTTCAGCCAGTTTCCTGCTATTACCATAATCCAATCTAAAGATGTTAATCCAGTAGCATGGTGACTTTTGCATGCACAGGGGCTTTGCTGAGCCAGTGAGGTCTGATGTTTTTTGAGCTTCTTTCACTGGCACAGAGTTCAAAGATGGCCTTATGCTCTTTGAATGTCAGATACAAAACATTCGATGGCAATGGCAGCTGTAACACGTAGATATGTTCAGTCTCTCCTTACATGTGTGTTTTCTCCCAGCTCTTTTTTTAATATACCCAGTTCTGCTATTCCATCTTCCTCCTACTTCTGTGCTCATCCGCACTCATACTCTTGGGTTTTGTCATTGTTGTTAACATATGGATGTTATATGATCCCTCACTGAGTGCAGCTTTGTCCTCTTAATAAGTAGAAAATACCATGCGTTCTGGAAGGAGGAATTAGCTACAGGCCATTCTCATTAAGCCTCTCCTTCAACTTAAATCAGTTTAAATTGTATTTTTGAACTGCAGTCACTATGCGGCATTGTAAGTTGAAAACAACCACTTGAGCCCTTTCCAGAGAGGCTTTGAGTGGCCCTGATCCTAGGCATGGAGGGGAGATAAGCAGCACATTGAAGTTGTAGTATCGCTGTAGCTGAGGGCAAGGAGTGCATGGAAACATACCCTCCCTCTGGCACTGCCTGGCTCTGGATGAGGGGAGAGGAACAAGCCAAGCAGCTTGGGTTCACACGTGCGGTGGGAGCCAGTGGCCTCTCAGCTGATGACAGATTAAACTCAGGGCCTGGTTAGTGGGAAGACTGTGATTAGACCTCAGCAGCATCTGTCTCTAGCACTAAAGGAATTACTGCTGCAGGCTGTGATTTTCTCAGCAAACTGTAATTATTACCAGGAACCTCATTCCTGCCATTTTTCTCAACAACTTAAGTGCAAAAAAAAAAAAAGTGGGTTGTGGGTGAGGGTACTAGGAAGCAGAAACTGTGAAAGGAGCAGGAAAAAGACACCTGTTTATTTTTGCTCAGCTCATTCTGATTATTTTCTCTCAGTTTCTTAGATTCATATGAATTGCACACTATTTTTTTTCCTAAAGGTCAGTGACAAGGTTTAACTCCCTGAAGCTGTTCTGCCATTCACCTGAAGCTGATAGGATACATCCTCTCTGTTCACTTATGCCCCATGGCATCTTAGATGAGTGTGGTGGTGCTTGCAGAAGATGCCAAACCAACCTGTACTCTGGCTATGCCCTCTCCCTCCTCCCATGGGAGCAGCGGTGTGGGGTGGGGGACTCCAGTCACGACTGTTCTCAGGACACCCCTGGGAAGGTATGGTCTGGGCAAAAGTGTGGAATATTGGAGATTGGGCAGGGTGAGTTTGAACCTTACTTCCAAAGGCCCTGTGTAGACCAGGATTTAAGAATTTGAACTTTAAATGTGTTAGGTTGCATATACTAACTCTCTGCTTTAAAAGATGTAGAAAAGGCAGTGTAAGTTTGAACTCCCAGTAACACCTGGTAGTTTTGCCAAAGTAACAATGTGGAAAAAAGAGTAAGATTTCTTTGCAAGATTTCTCTACCAGAAAAAAAAACTTTTTGTTTGTGCAGTTGTAACTCCATAGAAGCCCGTTTGCCATTAGCGTTTTCTCTTATCAGAATATAAGAAAAAAAAAAGGGTTGGGTTTGTTTGGGATTTTTTTTTTGTGTGTGGTTTTTTTTTTTATTACTTAAATCTAGGAGAGGAAGAGAAATACCTAAGAGTAGAGTTTGCCAACACAGCTTCACCATCTAATACTTAAAATGTAGGCAAAGTCAAAATAATTCAAACTAATCTGTGTGTTCCTTTCTTAACTTTCCTTAGGACTTTAATGTGACTGTTTCATGTGCTTTAAGGCAAGAGTGTCTTGTCTATGTTAAATGATTTTACATCAACACTATACTCATCTAGAAGAAAGCAGAATTGTTCCTTACCAGTACGTCTGCCCTCCATCCTGCAGCATGTCTGGCAGCACAGCCAGGGATGAGTGTGGCATTGGAAACTTGACCCTTGGGACTGAATGCACCCAGAGGCAGTATGTTGGCAAGCAGATCCCGGTCTCCAGAGCCAAGTCTCTGCAGATACTGGTGGGAAAGACACACATCTGGAGTTGTCTGGAATTGGCACAAATTGCTGCGGACAAAGAGGAGAGAAAGGAAGGGTTATAAGGAAAGTGGAAAGAACACTTCTTACACATTTCGCTTTCTTTTCCATCTGCTTGTGTGATGTTGCTATGAGCTGTTAAACAGCTGCAGTGCTCTGCCCCAGAAGGGACTGTGTTTCAGTAGAGATGGAGAATGATTCCTACGACTAAGTGCTTTGGGAGCCCTCTAGAATGAAAGGGGCAATAGGAATAATGTTTTTCTGACTTTTGCTAAATACACTTGGGACTGCACCACCTGAGGAAGTAGTGAGCAATGCTGTTCTTGCTTCTCAGACCTAGAGCCCCTGACAGGCAGTGGTTATTGCTGGGTGTTTCTGACTCATCCTTTGCACAGGAGGTGAATCCCTCTTGTCCGTTGCCTCCCAAGCAGAACGTGCCAGCTCTCCCCTGCTGGTTCAAGGAGAGCAGATTACACAAACAAAAGGTGTTTGCAGACTGCGAGACTTTGTAGCTTGGGGAGATAAGGGCAGTGAAGGAGGACGAGGAGGAGGAGTGAATGTATTGTGATTGCCAAGGACGGAGCAGAAGAGCATTTTTTTTGCATCCATTCAGACGCTCAGCTATTTCCTGCGTTGTTCCTGCAGTCAGCATGCTCCACCTGCTTTTACTTAACCATTTCCTGTTTATGGCTTCCAAAATCTTTCTGGTGAAATCAGTGATCTGCCACAGGATCGGTCTTACAGTCCCTTTTGGGCAGGCTTCACTGACTTCTTTTCCTCTCTCTTCAGTACACAGACATTTCAGCCCAAGGACCTGTTGTGTGTGCATGCAGTCAGTAGTTGCAGCAGGAAAGTATGTGCTTCTTCAGTATTCTTTATGTCTCCATATGCCCTTTTTTAGCTTCTGATGCTTGCTGCTTTTAGCAAATTTTGACAATAAACAGTAGTACTGATGGCACATTCCCCTTTCTGTAGAATAGAGGGCTCCAGGTATTTAGAGAAAAGACTCTTCCCTTTACTTTCAAGCTCTTAAGAGTTCTCCCACAAACAAGGAATTTGTTCCTTGAATAGCTTGCCCAAGCTTCGGATTATTTTCAGGCTTTGAGAACAGCGAGGCAATTTGTTCTAATTTGTCGTTCTGTTTCTCAAATGTGAATGGCAAGGTGTGAGGAGCAGGAAGGATCAACCAAAGAAAATTAAATCTTTTCCTTGAAGTGTAGATGGCTCCCAAGAGTCCCTATCTCACACTTAGTTGCACATCTTGTAGAAATCACTAGAAAAGCATGCATACTTTAAGTCTCCTCTCCTTAGCCGTACTATAGATAACACTGCAGCCACCACTAAAATAAAACTTATTTGTCACTGCTTTTGCTGTTTGTTTACTTTTTTATTTCTCCTCTGGAGCAGTGAAAATAGATTCTTCGGTTTCCTCCCCGATTCTCATGCTTTTGCACAGGGCTGCAATGTTTGGGTTGCGGTGAGCACTGCAGGGGAATGTTCCCTTCTTAAAATAAATCCTGGAAACTTTTCTGTTGGAATCAGGGTTTGTAGAAGTTGGGGTTTTTTTGTTTTTTGTTTTTAATAAGAAGAATGTTTGGTCAACTTTGACCTGACACCATATCCCTTTAAAGGGAACAGGGTTGTGGTGCATGTCAGTATAGATATACTGACATGTATATGTGTACGTGTGCATGTGTGTGAGTGTCGTAACAGAGTACATGACAGTTATACTGGTATAACTGAGCACTGAAATCATCCTCTAAGAATGCTGGATATGTCGGCCCTGTCTCCAGCAGACAGATCTGCAAATTCCTTAACTAGGCCTACTGAAAGTTAGCATAAGCCAGGATGCTTAGTCTGCTGACTTAGGCATGGGAGGCACAGGTCTATAAGCATTCACTGGCACTGTTGCTAAGCTGTTTCACACTCCTGCAATTATGTTGATGGGCTCACACTCACAAACATTTCTACGTATTTGAAGAATAACACTAGACAGCCCCCATTTTAACTGTAACATAAATATGCACAGGTAGTGCTTCAGTATGGTCTGGGCACTGCTGATGTCCAGGCAACTGTCTGCTGTAGGCATAGCACAACCCCACTTAGATCAGAGTTTGCTGAGGTATCCTTCAAGCTGCCTGTGAGCAGCGTTTGAACTTTCTTTTTAATCAGGAAAAGGAAGCAGTTGTTTTCTGCATAGAAGTGTCTTTCAGATTGGCCCAAGTATGTAAAATGGTTATTTTGGGTCACATCCAGCCCAATTCATTCAATAGTTTGTGTCAGGGTACTTGTCACCAGTGGCATTTGCCCAGGGTGAGTCACACCCACCCAGGCAGTCATCTGAGAAAGCTCTCAACTCTTTTTCATTTTCATTTTACAGGGTACAGCCTAGTAAATTCATTACTATATTGTACCACGCAGCTCTTCCTACAGCAGTGGCTTTTCTTCTAACCAGCGTTCAGCCCGAGAGGCAGCTACTTCCAGAAAAGACTCTCTGGTTCAGTGCCCATCTTTGTTTTCCAGATGTTTCTTTTGCCACGCTGCTTTCCAGTTGTTACACTGCAAACGTGGGTGCACTCAAGATATTTTTGCCTCCTGCCTCCACCCCAAAAATGGAGGAAATCTGAATGATATGAAAATGTAGCAAAAATGAGACCCTCGAGGAAAATGGCAGGGAGGTGTAGAGGACCATGCAGGACTCTTTCCAGGAAATGGGTAGAAGGTTCATCACATGAGTCACTGAAACCTTAGATGACTAAATTCTTGAAGAATAAACTGTCAGGAATATGATACTGGACAGGACAGTTGCAGGGAAGGAGAAGAAAACTTCTTAAATAGCTCTTGTTTGGTTTTTTGTTCATGATTCATTCCTGAGGAAATTGCTGTGTGGCTGGTCAGGGACGGGGGCAGTGTGCAGGCACTGCCAGCCTGTGCAGAGGCAGCAGATGAGGCTGCTGCGGTGCACAGCCTCACCGCTCCTGGCCTCAGTGCTCCTGCCAGAGGGGATCAGGAGCACCCTATGGCCAAGTGAATAAATAAGACAGGGTCACTGGTGCACATACGCCATTTGAAACAATTCACATTTTTTTTAGTATATCAGCAACTATGCAACCAAGAGGAAATGAAGGTATTGAAACTCTGATTCTAAGCTCCTTTTAAAACCTTTTCTTTCTCTACCTGCTCCAACCAGTAAACCAGGTTGTATCAATAAAATGGCCCAAAGCTCTAAATTTGGGTTTCAGAGAAGGTCTTAAGATTTTAGATGCCAGTAACAACAGAAGCAGTCAGACTCCCTCCACAGCTACCTCCAGAGAAGCTAAACCAGCATTAGCAGTGGCAGAAAATGTTTGCAGTAGTATTTGAGTGTGGAGAAACCCCAATGTTCCAGCATGCTGCTGCCAGTTCCCATTTTGGTGAGTTTGACCCAGAGCATTTAACATTTCAACGTCAGTTCTGTGTCTCATAATTCTGTTTACATAATGACCACTCATTTGGTTCCCATTAAAATCATGGTATTTCTTCTGCAAACCATTGCTTGTAAAAATCAAGCCACCCAGTTTTTCATTAGATTGTATTACAGGAAATAAACAGTCTGTCTGTAGAATGCACACTATAATTCTTAAGCAGAGAAAAGGGGCCTTTTTTCCCCTCTTGGACGTACCAAGTTCAGAAGTAAGAATGAGAAAGATCTGTTAAGGGTTGCTGAGTCTATCTCCTACAAAAACACAATGTAGTTGCTCCCCGGCAGATGTTTCTCAGATGCTATATTGATAAAAAGAGTCTACAGTTCTTCAGAGTCAGAGCAGCAAGAATCATCTTAAAATTGTAGAACTGGCAGGTGTGACTCTCACAGGTCCTCCCAGCACCATTGCCTTTCGAGGCAGCACACAGCGGTTCCTTGTATTATATATACCTGCACTTTGAAGAATTCCGTTTCAAATGTCTCAAACAATGGGGGTTTCACCACTTCCTGTGGGAGCCTGCTCTTCAGCCTAACTCGTTCTACCATCTGGAGCATTTTCCTGAGTGTCTGCCTGCTTTTAACTTTCTTCTAATTGTGTACCCACTATTTCTTCTTAAAGGCAGCTCACCAAAATGTTCTGTTGTGTGAAATCCGCGTTACATGGTGCTATTTTTCATGAGGGTCAAGAAAACCCTGAAAGATTCGTGGTGGCTTCTTCTCTTTGCTTTTTCATCCTCAGAAATAATAATAACTAATTAATAATGTATTACTGCTTTTCTAGCCATTCATCTCAGCAATTTACAAGGAAGGGCAACATCGTTGTACTCTTTTTACAGATGGGAAAAGATGAAGCACAAGGGCAGGAAACAACTTGCCCAGGATCATTCAATGCATGCATGGCAAGACTTGGATTTTTAACCAGGTCTCCACAACAGTGCCCTACTTTTATTTTTTAACTCTTCTTTTTCTTTTTGGCCCAGTCAGTTCCCCTTGGCTTTGTTGGAGTCCTTAGGAAGAACAAGCTTTCCATGAACTTTATTCAGCATTGTCATACTGTAACTGAAGGGTCAGCTTGTTGAATATTTAACAGTTCCTATCTTTCTGATGTGTTGGTTAGGCATCCTAATTAAGTAGTGATAAATAAAACCAACAAAGCATTTTAAAAGACTGATCCAGTCCCTAGGGCCTCCAAGCTGAATTTCCTTCAGCAAGCATGTGTTTTCCCAGTTGCAGATTGTCCAGATTGAACACAGTTTATATCTAGCACATTCTTATCAGTGCATTGCAGGGAGATTTCCTTCCTCCTCAGTGCCACCATGCTTGCTTCACCTGTCATATTTCCCTTAGCTGTGGTTTTTGGTGTGTTTCTCAGAATCTGGATAGTTGCTGAATTATAAATCTTCCAATCTGGAACAACCACACCACGATCTGTACAACAGGATGCACTGCGTAAGAGAGAGATCGAGCACTGAACAGGCTCACCTGGCTTCCAGAAGTAGAATCATAGAATCATAGAGTAGTTAGGGTTGGAAAGGACCTTAAGATCATCTAGTTCCAACCCCCCTGCCATGGGCAGGGACACCTCACACTAAACCATCTCACCCAAGGTTTCGTCCAACCTGGTCTTGAACACTGCCAGGGATGGAGCATTCACAACCTCCCTGGGCAACCCATTCCAGTGCCTCACCACCCTTACAGTAAAGAACTTCCTCCTTATATCCCATCTAAACTTCCCCTGTTTAAGTTTGAACGGGTTACCCCTTGTCCTATCACTACAGTCCCTAATGAAGAGTCCCTCTCCAGCATCCCTATAGGTCCCCTTCAGATACTGGAAGGCTGCTATGAGGTCTCCACGCAGCCTTCTCTTCTCCAGGCTGAACAGCCCCAACTTCCTCAGCCTGTCTTCATACGGGAGGTGTTCCAGTCCCCTGATCATCCTCGTGGCCCTCCTCTGGACTTGTTCCAACAGTTCCATGTCCTTTTTATGTTGAGGACACCAGAACTGCACACAATACTCCAGCTGAGGTCTCACAAGAGCAGAGTAGAGGGGCAGGATCACCTCCTTCGACCTGCTGGTCACGCTCCTTTTGTTGCAGCCCAGGATATGGTTGGCTTTCTGGGCTGTGAGCGCACACTGAAGCCGGCTCATGTTCATTTGCTCATCAACCAACACCCCCAAGTCCTTCTCCGCAGGGCTGCTCTGAATCTCTTCTCTGCCCAACCTGTAGCTGTGCCTGGGATTGCTCCGACCCAGGTGTAGGACCTTGCACTTGGCATGGTTAAACTTCATGAGGTTGGCATCAGCCCACCTCACAAGTGTGTCGAGGTCCCTCTGGATGGCATAAAGTAGTCTGGCCTTAGTAGCACAGAGCACTCCACAGGCTTCTAGCAGGCAGGTGGTTTCTCCTGCCTGCCCTGAAGTTTCTGCCTGTCCAACCTCTCATTTCAGTGAGAATTACTGGGACTAGATCCACCTGAGCACATGGTAAGGCAAGTTTAGTTCCTCTCGTCCCCAGGGGAATGACCAGGGAAGGCAGCCAGAGCAATATGCTTGCAGTCTGATCACAGGTGTGTCATAACTGCCCCACACTGATCAGATACTGACCTGACATCACCCATTATGTGCAAGGTCCAGCACATATATAAGGTCCCGCACATATATAACTCTGTGTAGGCCCGAATTATATCTGAGGGGCAGCACATAGATCTTCCTGGCTGCTGACCACGTTCAAAGTATATCAGTAAGTGAAACCCTTGCCACCTGTGTTATTCCCCCCACTGCTCTTTCAGGCCTTCCTTACTCCAGATATCTTTGAGCCAGCATCTGAGGATTTACCAAAAGCTGCAAGACTGCTGTAGATCACCGATCACACTGTCTGTGCTTTCAGATTGAGTTTGAGAAATTACCAGCAGTGTCATGCTTATGCATCCTGGCCATGTGAATAAAGGAAGCTAAGAGGCAACAACAGATTACATAAAGCAGGGAAATCCCCCTCAAACTTCTCCCAGACTATCTCAAACTGAAGTTGATTTGCATACGTGCACTACAAATAACTTTGCAATGGCTTTTAGCCCCATGAAGAGGTTATATGTGTTTGCTGTAATCATTTAGGCCAGTTCCACCAGTTGCAACTAAGCTTCCTTATACAAACCCTGTTTGGTGGAAAATGGACCTTAGTGAAAATCAGAAAAAAGCTATAGTATCTTGTAGTTGAAACCTATGGCCAACTTCTTTACAAAATCCGAGGTTCAAATGGCCTGAATTCCTGAGTGATGCTGTTTAAAAAGCAGTGGTATTAAACAGACTTCCAAAGTTCCTGTGATTTTTTTCAAACATCATGATTTAATAAAAAAAAAAAATAAGTGAGCAAGAAAAGGATAGCATATTGAAAATGTGTATTTACTGGGTTATCTCAGGCTCAGAAATGTAGTTGGCCGATATGACATTACAAAAACCTTTTACAATATCTTTGATGCACTAAGAATGACAATGTTTATAAACCTAGTACATTGTGACTACAGAATGCCTAAATTCTTCCTGAAGACATATGTTTTCTTTTCCCTTGCAGAGAGAGTGGGCTTTTGGAGTTTGGGGGATTGGTTGGTTTGTTTGTTTCAATAGGATAGGAATATAAAGTTTCCAAAGGCTTGCTAAGAGCTGTTTCTTTGGAAAGAATTTGCTCACCAACTCCCTTTCCTAGCTTTCTATTGAAACAAGTTCTCATACACGTTTTCTGCCAGCCCTCTCACAAAACTAGAAAGGACATAGACAACTGCACTAATTCTTTAGGCTCTCCCAGTAAATTCAAGAAAAGGATTTCCTGTACGTTTGCTGGATTGTCAAGCCAACTTTACACTAGAATTAACTATAGTTGGCAATAAATTCCAAATCTCTTTTAAACAGTCTTAGAAGTGCTTTTGTCAGTATAGGGTATTTCCCTTGAGGAATTCATCAAAGGCACACTGGCAAAAGTGAGATTTGTTCTACCTGCATTAGGGTTATCATCATTGTCGGTATAGATACCAGGACAGCTGTATGAGCAAATCTTTTCTAGTGCAGTTGCTTTTCATACAGTTAACAATTAGAGCTAGAGAGGAAGAGGAAAACTGAGACACAGCTTCCCTTGACAACCTGTGTAAGCCTTGTGTTTCTTCTACAGTACCACCTCTGTTAATAATGTCATGGCCTGTTGCAGTGGAATGCCTTGCCTTTCACCTTTCTCTTTTCAGCTTTATTGACTTTCTTCAAAGCTTTGATACAGAACAAGAGGAATCATGTCAGGAATGAACTGGCTCCTTTGAAGAGTCCTTCAGGCAGCTGCAGTTTCCCTATGTTATGATGGAGCTGGTGTCAGTGAGTCAGCTGTAGAGATAGGAAGAGAACTACATATTTGAATAGGCATGGGACACCTTGCAGTGCAGCTAATAGTAGCAAACATAAAGACATGACATGATCTGACAGCTGATTCATTGGTACCTTGGATATTTTAGTCCTGATAACTGCGTATTTCTTCAGTATGTGTTCTTTTCATCACCTTGCAGGTTGATCAGGAAGGCTTTAATTTTGTTTTTTCTTATCTCCTCTCACAAATAACAATAAATTTTCTACATAAGGTGTCTAATCACAATTATGTAATATCCTCTGTTTACATAGAAAACTTTATCCCAAAGCACTTTACACACCTGGCACTGATGGGACTAAGATTAGAAGAGGAGCAGCTCATACTGGTTAGGAAGCAGGCTCTGCTCTCAGCCTAGGTATTAGTAAAGCATATAGGGTAGAACCACAGTATTTTCTATGAATACAAATTATTTTGCTAATAGTTGGAAAATATACAGGTATAAGATGTGCTCTGTTTAACTCTAGTAAATGTATCTGAACTGTAGAAAATAAGCTGATAAGAGCATATCAGTCCCCTTGCACATGCCATTCTCTCTTCATAGGCACTGACTAGAAAAAAGAGTTTTACTGGAAAATTAGGGTGATACAAAGGTCTCAGCAACTATATCATGGCCTTTGGAAAGTTCTGCCAGAGAATGGCAGAAAGACCTGGACTGGTCTAAGGTTTGGCTCCAGAGCACGAGAGCGGCATCAGATACTTTGCCAGCCAGAATGAGGAGAGTCTGGACATTGGTAACTAGAAGGATAGCCAGAAAGAGGATTGTTGCATGTAAGTCAATCCATTTTCAGCTAGTCTGTGGAATTAGTTCATACTGAAGTAATTACCTTGATTTGTTTTGTGGATTAAAAGGATTTCCAAGTGGTGGTTCACTGGAGGAAACGGTAACTTTGTAATATCGTTCTGACACATCAGCATTGAGGTGTCTGTATTGTGTGTTTCAGATGGAAAGGATCAAACAAATCTAACCTGGGAAGGAACCAATCCTGCCCTGCAGACCATACGAGTGAGGAACACCACCTTGAAAAATACTTTACTTGATTCTGCTTTACCCAGCACTACTGCTGAGACTCCAAGCAATACATCCTATCTATAGAAAGGACAAACGAAACCTTCATTAAGAAATGAATGAGTGACAACACTGGTTTTGAAAAATACGGTGAAGCAGATAGTGAGCATTCTTCTTCTTTTGTCTCTTTAAAAACGTAGTTAAAACCACATGCTGTTCTTCGTATGTGTGGAGCCATGCTTAACTCTGAACTTAGGAAAATCCTGTATTTTGTTCAGTTTATTTAAGTGACATGGTAATAAAAGCCTCTGAACAACACAAGTGCTACTGAAGAAGCATAGGCCACACGTGCCTTCCTAATTCACCCCATTACCTCACCAATTTGGAGGAGCCGACAGTCAAACGTAAGAGTGCTTGGTGTCCACAGCCCGTAACATAGTGAAATATTTGCTGCTGCTTTTCAAGAGAAATTATAAACCTACTCACTGGCTTGACTGACAAGCAGTAGTTCAGTGAGGTCTTATTCCTGTAACTCACTTGAAAATCTTCAGAGATGATGTAACAGACTTGGTAATAGCTAGACGCTGACAGTTTAGAATGGAAGGAGAACAGGTAGCAATCCAAATGGTGGGAAGATTGGCGTGTAGTACAGCTGCTTAGCTTCCTCTGTCTTCAAAGCGCTTTTAATGTATTCACAACATGACAGCAAACCACAGAACTATTTACTCATCTTACAGACTTAGAGAATATGATTCGCTCAAGGCTGCTGAAGGCATCACTGGCTGTGCTGTGATCAGGTTCAGGTTGTTCTGGCTCTCAAGCCTCACATGCCTAAGGGATAGCCATGGATTCACTTAGTGCTGATTGCCAATGTACAGTCACCATTGGTCTGAGAGGCTTGTTCTGTCTTCTGCAGTCACAGGGAAAGCCTCCCAGAGCAAACTCTTGAAAAGCAGAGTAACCTGTACAGAAATATGGGAGGTCTGCAGAACTGCTGAAGTAGATCTAGGTAATCCAGCAAGAAAATCAGTTGCAGTGGGTCCACCTGTGGCAGTGAGGTGAGCAGTTTGCAATCTGCTGTTCTGTAGGCAGCCTTTGGGTGATGAGAGTTCCTGGGGAGCACATGGCCCCTATTGAAAAGTACTGCATACTATTACTGTGGCAGTGCAAGAGGCTGAGAAGCTGATGGGATGTGGCAGCTGGTGTCATGTCACTCCCAGCCACCAAACAGGATGGCGTGGAGCAGGCTACTCTGCAGCTACTTACATGGCTGCTCATGCAGCTTCAGGCTTTCCTTTAACAAGGAAGTTTCCATCACAGCAAGGAAGCTACTCCATTTCAATAAGCTACTTTTAAAAGCTAATACATTTCACCTTGAGGAAGAGCAGTTCTCCAGCTTCAGTGTTACCAGTTTTGTGCTTTGAAGAGACCATTGTAAAAAGATAATTTTAATTTTGTTTTAACTAAAGTTTAGATTTTCTTCTTGGCAGGGCTGCACTACTGGCCATTCAGTCAAACCCTGCTGAACTTGCTTGTAGCCATTTTATGTGGATATCTTGTAAATATTTGGTAGAGCACTCAGACACAGAAGTGTTTCTTGCTCTTAGAGTCACATGCCTGGTTCCAGTAACTTTCAGAAGCACAAAAGGCTGAAAGCAGGGAAAATTCCACTGAGGTGCATTTGAGTCTCCAGGGAGCAACTGCACGCTGTTTAGACTAAAATTTCTCATTGATGCCTCTCCCTTTTTTTAAAAAAAACATGCAAGGATAGAGAGGAGAAGCTGGAGGGTAGGGTTTTTTTAATATCATAAATACCAGAATGCAAGCACTGTTTTCACTCATTTCTCTCACATTGCAGGACCATTTGCAGATGGAGAGGCAGATAAGCTTTTTAATGCTCTCTGCATACCTGGGAAATTTCCATCCAAGTTTTAAAATGTTTTATAAACATTAATGAATTAAAGCCTAATCCCCTTCTTCTCAGCCCTGTGAAGCAAGTACTAAATACAGTTTAAAGACAGGGCTAATAAACTTGCCTTTCCTGAAGTCACACAGGGCAGCGTGGTAAAAGGGCTCAGGTCTTTGCGTCCAAGCTTTCGACCTTACACCACAAACACACATTCCGTCCCTCTTCCAGGCTTGCTGTACTTCCCCTTCTGGGATATAGTGAAAACATGCCGGCATCACACCTTGAGATAACCTTGTTTTTTCCCCTAGGAACAGAGAGACTACTCACAGCTGCTGTCCTGTGGGATTAAGATGTTGAAAAGATCAGAGAGGGATGTGAGGGGAATGGGGAAGAAGCAAGTCACAGACAGCTCTGTCTGCCTTTGGGAGTGTTCTACCTCCTCTGCTGCCAGTGAAGTTAGTGCACTATCAGGAGCAACCTCAAACATTTTTGCACGTGCTTCCATTTAGTATTCAAGCAGAATGTGCTTCCATATAATATTCAGGCAGGACTGTGATAAAAATGCCATAATCAAAGAGAGAGCTTGGCCGACAGGAAAATTGGACAGATGAGCCAGTAAGTCACTCCTGTAGTGAATATATGTGATTTCATTATCCTTCTGTATGTGACCTGCATTTCTTACTGCTGCTTATTATCAGAGTCTTATAACTACTGCTGCAGCCATCTCTTTCACCTCTTCAGAAGAGAGGGATAATCCATCAGCCAGTTTCTCTCCAGTGGTATGAGTCAGTTTTTTTCTAGGGGGATTAATGGTCAGTTGAAAAGACTTGTTCCCAACAGGGCTGTGCAAAAAGCAGTGTGCACATGAGTCATGAAGTGGAAGAGAAGGAAACAGATCTATAGATTTAAAGGGTTTGAATTATTTCTTTTCCCTCAGCTTACCTTGTCCACACCAATTGATAACGAGATGTGCAAAAGCTGGAAATGTATTGGCAGTGGCTGGCGTAAGCGGGACTGAGAGCTTCTCCCACTGTGCAGACAGACCTGAGGTCAGTCAGCCAAAACCAGATCAGTGTATACCAGCTATTCCAGCCCTTGTAGGGGAGAGATGCTGTGAGAAAGATCACAGTGCAGCAGCCCTGTCCTGTCTCTCCTATGACCCTGCAGTGTATCCCAACATTGGTGCCTTTGGCCTCTTTGTGCCATTACCTTCTATGACAAGGCTCCAGCTCTGGTCTTTCGGTATGCTTCTTCTGTAGCACTCTTCCCTGCAGAGGATCCAGACTCACTTCAAATGCTGTGCACAGTGCTCATTTCATTCCCTGCTGAAAGGCAGCCAGGCCTGAGGTGGAACATGGCAAGCACTTAGCCACACCTGGCAACTCCATGCAGCTGCTGAAAACAAGCAGGGAAGAAAGTGGTGTACAAACGCAGGGGAATTTTCACATAGGCAGGATGTAATTAGCAGAGCTGGAATTTGGCCAGAATATTGGGGTTAAAACACTGGCTTGCAGGTAACACACTGGGATCTTTCAGCATTCAAATGCTCAGGAGCTCCCATTTCCATCTTACCTGGAAGATATCAGAAGACTGTTCCCTATTTAATGTTCCTGGGCAGCTCTCGAACTTCTGACACAAAGGAAAAAGTGTCTAATGGTGCTGCACCTGCAGTGCTTCTCCAGCAACTGCCAGCCACGAACAGCATCTGAAAGGATCACATCCTGACAGGACTACGGCTGCATCACAGTAAAACATGCCACAGCTGCCTTCATGCCTTGAGATTCACTTCACCCTTAACTCTCATTACTCAGTTTTGAGGCCCCAAATCCCCACCTAGCAGAAAGAAAAGATGATATAATTAGGGCAGCTCATCACACATAAAACACAAGAGAGAGAATATTACCATTAGGTGCTGCTTCAGCCTCATTCTTTGCCACTTAAAATAGTACCAATTTGGTACTGGACAACAGAGAATTAGATGAAGCAGTTCTCTCCCCAGTGCAGATGACAGCTTTTCCAACCGGCTTAGCCAGTAAAATACAGAGAGCATTAAGAGTTCATGCCTGCTCCCTCCTTCCAGCAAAGAAATCACGTTCAAAGCAGCAAAACATTTTTTTCACCTTCATGATCTCACTTTCCATGTAAGCAATCTTTGTGTTTACTACGAGGATGTTGAATGTCCACAAAAGGTTAGGGAAGTCATTCATGAACTTCATGTGTGGAAAGTCCGTACAATGTTTCTACCACAGTCTGAAATATAAATAATTGCAAACCTTTAACCCCATGTCTGTCAGACCTGCAGATCATGTGCAGTTCAAAGAGCTGACTTCCTCTTGTGGTGCAGTGTGCTTGCAAACAAAACCAGAGGTGTTCCTGCCATACAAACAAGCATAGTTTCTTCACCAGTAAGTCATAAAAAAAAGGACGCCTCCTATGCCTGTGAGGGCTGCCCATATCAGCTTTTGGTTTGTTTAGGGTTTTTGTATTCCTAGGCTGCCATGCAAGTCCCCCTCTCTGTCAAGTGTTAATACAACCACCAGCCAAACTTGCTGAGAGCGCCTCAGTCAGTGGGGTAACAAACCTACAGAGTGACTCCAATGGCAAAGTGAGCTGGTAAAGTACAGGCAGCTGCAGGCAACAGGAAATCCAGCACTAATAAATAAAATGCCTTGCAGCCAGAAAGAGGAAATAAACAGCAGCAGCACAAACTGAGAGGACAGAAGAGAGGAACACAGCATAACTGTGGTGCGGGAATCACTGCAGTACAGTGAGCTTATTTCTACAAAAAGCTGTCCTGGTTTGTGTTCAGACTGCAAAAAAAAAGTGGGGGAGTAGGAGGGCTGCTCAAAGAGAGGGTCTCTATCAGAAGAAGTTGTCAACAGCCACTGTAATTAAGGAAGCAGCCAGAGCACACACAACCTGAGCTGCCGCCAAAGTGAAATGAAAGCATTTTTTGTTTGCAGCCATAGCCCCGAAGGATAATAAAAGATGGTTCTACCGTGCCAAGTGAGGAGCTGCAGGGACGCCATTTCTAGATGGTGAATGCTCCCATCTTTCCAAAATTACTTGCCGTGGGGAGCCAGCAAGTTTCTCTCCTGCATGTGCTTTTGAAGCACGTGCCCGCACACCCCCTCTGATGGCAGCAGGCACCTTAAGAGGCCAGCCACCAGGCAGGTGAGCCCACCACCACTGTGGTAGCAATTGAGGTGGGCTGTTCTGGCACTGCTTAGTCCAGATTGCCGAATCAGCCATCCCTTAATTTTTACCCCTTGCACTCAGCCATGGGTGCGTATGGCCCCACGGCATTGCCACCACTAGCGGGAGCTGCCGCATTCGGAAGAGCTGCACCCCACTCTCCTCCCAGGGGTAGCTTCGGTTAGGAGGCTCACTGGTGCCTTGGCAAGGAGCTGCGTGCACAGCATGCCA